GCTGGTGTCCACGCCCCGGTACTCACCACCCCGCCCCCCTCCCCCCCCCACCCCCATGCTCAGGATCATCGGGGAGCTGTTACCAGGCTGGCCAAGTCTGCCCGAGTTTCCCAGGAGCTCCATCTGGTCCCAGTGACATGCGAGTCGGGGCTAGGTGTGCAGGGGCTGCCGCCCCGCTGCGCCGCGAGGGGAGAGGGAGAGACAGGACTCCTCTCCGGAGAGAGGAAGCGGCTGCCCAAGGTCAGAGGCCACGGGGGGCTTGTGAGTGCAGAGGAGCAGACCCACCTCCACCCTGTGCCCTCCCAGCCCCCCCCCCACCCCCGTGCCGGCCCCCGGGGGATGAGGGTGTGAGGATGGAGATCAAGGAAAAGATTTGTTTTTAAGGGAGCAATGGGGAGACACAAAGTGTGTTCCCCAGCCCAGCCGAGGGAAAAGGTTTTCTTTTTTCATGGAATGACTTTCTCTTTTCAGCCGATGGGAACGTGGCTTCCAGGAGCCTCCTCAGTGCTCTCCGAGGCTCCTGCCCGGTTCCTCGCAGCCCGACAAACCCACAGGGAGACTGATGCCCCCTGGTGCTGGGTCGCTCTCACCCCACACCCGGAGACTCCACCCGCTCCCCCGGGTGTTAGTGGATTGGGCCTGATACCAGGCAAAAACCAAGGCGTGCCCGGGGCCCCCAGACTGTTAAGAGGGAAAAAAGCGGTGCTGCCTGTTCTAAGGGTTGGTGCCACCCGTGCGCATAAAAGCAAGCCAGGGAAGCTCCCTGTGCTCACGCTCTTTAATCAGCAAGAAGTTCAAACGGCAGCAGAGAGGGGAGAGGACTTCCAAAGATGGACTCAGGAAAAAAAGAGCCACAGGCGAAGCAGGAGACTCCACAGAAGCAGGAGGCCCCCTCGAATGCCCCTGGCTCTCTCTTTTAGTTCAAGACACATCAGGGGGTGCACTGGCAGGGCTGGGACCCGCCCAGCTCTCACGGTGTCCTGACTCCATGCTGCCCGGCTGGCCAGTGCTGGAGCCACCTCTCCCGCACCCGCCTGGACCTCCAGATGATCTTCGGTGGGGGCTGGGCTTCCTCTGCCCTTGCTGGGGGATCTTCTGGAAACTGAGCATGCAGTGCAGTGGGGGAGGGGGTAGGGACTGTGGCACCAGGAACAGTGGAAGGATGCAATTTTCCCAAGCCATCAGCGGGGTTTTAAAAATGCAAATGGAACCGGGCCTTTGAAATATGCCTGCCATAAAGGGGAGCTGGTGGTGGCAGCAGGAGCTGGCGCGGGTGTGGAAAGTCATGAGAATCCTCCTCCTGGGGCCTCATCCTCAGACTTCCTTCCCTGCACGCCCCTCTGTCTGCAGGATGCCTGTTCGGGAGGCCTGGCATGCCCCGACCTCAGGGCACCGCCCTGAAGCCGTCTTGCCCTCCAGGTGTTCATTAAAGATGACTCCAGCGGCCGAATGATCTGCCCAACGACGTGGCTGCAAAGAATGAGATTCTAATTCCCCCTGACCGGCCACTCCAGGGCTGTCTGGTGGAAGTTCTTCCTGGGTCTGATTTAAATGCCTGGTGGTGCCGTTAACCTGCCTCCCCTATCCTCTGTCTTCAAGACTAATTGAAAAGCCTTCTTTTGGAAGGGGTGTAAGCTATAAAGGGCTGCTTTGTCCTTCGCGCCCATGCTTTCATTTCTTTTTCTATGTGCTCTCCAGCTACATCTGAAGCAGGGCCCCTGAGCCCAGCCTCTGATTTTGCCACTCCCGGCAAAGCTGTATTTCTGTTCCACCCTCTACTGGCTGTGCGCCCTTGGGAGAGTCACTTGGCCTTGCTGAGCCCTGGTCATCTCACCTATTCCTCATAATCCCTCACAAAACAGGGATTGTGGGAGGCTCTAGCCCATAGTGGTGGTTATGAAGAGTTTATTAAAAGAGATCATCTCTGAGCAAAAACAACATTTAGCCCAGGGCACTGCACAGTCTGTGCTCCCAGGAAATACTGGTGGCTTCCCCTTCCCCTTACCTCTTCTTCCTTCTCGCGCCCCGCCCCCCGCTATCCCTCCCCCACTACCACCCTGAGCAAGAGATGACTTCCAGATGAACATAACATCATTCACTCGGCTCCCCAGGAGGGGAATGTGCACAAATCAAGCCCCACCTAATGGCTGAGCAGCCAAAGGAAAGAGTATATGAGGAGGGTTTGGAGTATTGATCTTTAAAAATACAGAAGGTTCAGACAGCTTCACCAACGCCCGGATACAGCAGTCACATCTGTAGCTAATTCCCCGTCCATCCGACAGCATGCTAGCTCTTGAGCTCTTGGGTGCCAACCTTGCCTTCTCCAGGAAGCCATTGCGTTTCAGAAGCAAGTAAACTGGGGTGTCCCGGAAAGAACTCCACCTTTAGGAAACTCGGTTTGATTTTTTTTTTTCTGTGTGTCTTTTATTAACAGATAACTCGGGTGAGTCAGTTCATTTCTCTGAGGCTCTGTCGTTGCAGTTTTCTCAACTGCAACATCCGAGGAATAGTGTGACCTCTGCTTAGAATATGGCTGCAATTATCATTTCAACTGAGGTGGAGCATAGATTTATAGGTAACAAGTTGATAATTAGTCATCTATGTGGTGATACATAGTTACAGTTATATAAAGAGAGATCTAGGATAGAATGATCCATCCCTATGTCTATGACTTTCAAGGCTGATTGCACTTCATGTGATAAAATGGATGCAAAAGAGCTCGGGAAATTTCCCCAAGTTCATGGTGAGTGAATTTCCAACTGAAGATCATGCGTGTAGCGAGTTAGCGGCAGAACTTGGGTTGGACCAGGTTTCAGTCCTGAGCTTCTCCCAAGATACCATCTTTCCTCTCCCTGAAGCTCTGTTCAGGAGATAAGTGTGAGCTTGTGGGGGAAGAGGATGGATGAGTCAATAATTCAAGAGAAGAGAGAGGGGGAAGTGTGGGGAAAGGTAACAGTGCTGAACCGGGGTGGGGGTGCTGCATACAGGGCCTGGGGGAGGCCGGGCAGATGGCAGCCCTCCACTCCACTCCCCCACCATTCTGCAAGCAGCCCGGCCTAGCACTCCCTTCCCAGCCTTGCCTGCTTCCTCCAAGGAAGCAGGCAGCCTGCGCCAGAGTGAATACAATCCAAGTTATTAATTGCCTGCAACAATTAGCCCCAGCGCCTGGGCCTGCAGACACCCGAGCTCTGAAAGAGGGAGCCAATTATAGCTTCATCAATATTCACGTTGCTGCATAATTCTCTCACAACATGACGGTCCCCTCAACCCCCATCCATGTTTCTATCGGCCTTTGCTCTGACCCCAACATCTGGAGAAGACCAAATATTGCTGAGGCCTTCAAGAGTGGAAGTCAATGAGGGGTTAGACCTGAGGGGGCCACTGCACATAGCAGGGTCAAAACACTGACAGGGAGGAGCAGAACCTTGTCAATGATCTGGACAGTGTGCGTTACCCAGAATCCCCTTGTGGGGGAGACACATAACCTCCAGGCTGAGTGTTTCAAGCAGGCCTTATTATTAGGACTGTCTTTGAAAAGGAGAGGTCAGAAGCACCCCCGAAGGTTCTGGTTTTAATCCCAACTCAGTTACATACTACCTTTCTGGCTCTAGGAAATCCCTTCCTGCCTCTGAATTCATTTTCTTACCTGTAACCTGGGGACAGAGGCCACACCTCTCCATGAAGAAATATTCGGCCATATTCTTTGTAGAAGCACATAGCAACACAGTGAGTTGGCTGAGCCCGAGCAGGAAATAAATGGCAGCTATTGTGTTCTATTTGGAAAGAGCCTGGGAAGCAGATTCCATTCTGCCTGTACATCCCCTCTCCCTTGGCAGGGGGAATTAAGTGACCTGCCTGCTGGCCCAAGGTTTGCTCTCACTTACACTCTGGTCTTGGCATCCTTCCAACCAGAGTCCCTGCCCTTCCTACCTGACCAATAAGGACATGAGGCTAGAGGGGCTCCAGTGTCCCTCTAGCCGTTGTATTCCAGGAGAGCATGGGCAGAGAGAATGTGTTTACATTGGGTAAAAGACTATGAGAATATGGAATCCCCCATTTTTCCAGGTGGTGAATGGCAGCAGTAATAAAGGTGATGAAACTGCCAAATGAATATGAAACCAATTACATAAATAGTTAAGCCTAGAGTCACGACAATGCTGGCTCTGCATCACAAAGAGAAGACAGGAAATAAAGATCATCACCTGGTTCCAACCCCTGGGAGAAGCTCAATAGAGGTCCCTGGGGGTGGTCTTGGTGGAGAGTTTCAGGGCCGTGGACAGTAGCCCCCACCAGCCTGCACCCACTGGCCACCCACCTGGGCCAAGGTTGCTGTGAGAGCAGAGAGATAAGGGGCATGGATGTGGCTCCTGAGATGTGTCCTTGGAGGTGTGTTCAGTGAGAGTGATGCTGAGATTCAAGAATGACTCAGTTACACCCAGTGGGGCGGGGGTGGTGGGGGGTGTCTCAGAATGCCTGGCTGCTCATTGGTGGGGCGCTCAGCCCCTCACCAGGTTCCTGGGGCACCTGCCTGTGTCAGCTCTTCCATGACTCAGCACAGAATCCCAGCCCCATCTCACTACCTGCCCTGCCCCTTTGTCCCTCTGGCCTCCGCTTCCTGGCACATGCTGGCCAGTGCCTCTCCCTGCCCAGTCAGTCTGGCTGGCCCACTGGCGCCAGGAGCCAGGCTAGTTTTAACCCTGACCACCAGGCTCCATCTGGGCCTCTGCAATGACAGCAAGAAAGAGCTTTTCTGGCATCTGCCCAGTCAGGAATCTGTGGGGCTCTGATGGGCCGTCCCGGTGCCAGGTCCTATTCCTGCACATCGAATGTGGGCAGGGCAAAGAATGTTCTGTGCCAGAGAATTCTGGAGCCAGGAGCCCTGGGCTGAAATGGAGAGCTGGTAGACAGGTCACCAGTGACGAGGGAGTTAAAATTCCTTTTAAGGAGCAAGGGATTTACTAACAACATCAGCACCAATAATAATTATTGGGTACCATTTATTGGGCACCAGGTCTGTATGTGCATTTAACCCCACAGCTGTTCTGTGAGGAAATTGAAGCTCACAGAATAAGTCGCTTCAGGTCACACAGCAGGTAAATACTACGGAGCAGGTAAATACCCAGGTGATTTGATTCTTGAGCCCAAATTCTTTACACATTATTAGTCACATTTCACAGATGGAAAAACTGAGGGGCAGAGAGAGGTTAAAGGACTTGGCTAATGTCAGTGATGGAAGGTTCGAACCAAGGCTGGTCAAAGACATCATGTTTCTGTTCTACTCTGTTGCTTTCTGACGACAAGGTCCCCGGTGGGTGCCATTCTCAGAGACTCCGTCTCATCCTGGGTCTAAACACAACTAAACCAATCTCTCTGTTCCACCTTGGGGAAGTCTCTGTCTCTCTCTGAGCTCCAACCTGCCAAGAGAAACATGCTAAGATAGAGTTCACGTTCCAATTTCAGGATTGCTTTATCTGATAAGATTCTCCCCTGGAGACTAGAAGGGCCATCCTTCAAAGTGGCAGGACAATGCCCAGGACCCAGGAGAGCCGTGACCCCATATCTGCCAGGACAGCATGCAGGAGCCGGGGCTGCTGGCTGTGAACACACCACAGGGTTGGCCTCACCTGACACAAATGCCAGGTCACCTCCTAACCTCTTGCATTACCAATAGGGAAACTGAGGCCTGGGATGAGTGACCGAAGTGGCGTGGTTGCCTCCTGACAGCACAGTGCCTTTGGCAACCCCTCTGAGGTCTCTGTGTCCTTCCCAGCACCTCTGGGTCCTCATTTTGCAGCTGGGCACGTCTGAAGGCAGCTGTTCTTGTTGGCATCCAGGGCCACATCTGGCAGATGTGGTATCAGGATGCAGGAAGAATGCACGAGTCGTCTTAATGACCATGCGGGGAGCAGCCTGGGCCAGGCCAGCCTGGCTGGCTGTGCCTGGGGAGCTGGGTTGGCAGCAGGTGCCCCTACCCTCCGCCCCCTCCTCTGCCTCCCTGTCCTGCTCCTCCTCCTCCTCCTCCTCCACTGCGCCTCCTCCAGCTTGTGCTCTTCCGTGTTGTCTTTCCTCTCTTTCTCCCCATGCTCCCGCCCTCCCTCCTTTACACTCTCCCTTCCCCCAATGAGCAGCACAGTAAACATTTATTGAGCACTTACTGCGTGACAAGCCCATCGCGAGCCTTTTACATGCACATCCTCTAAAATCCTCCCAACAGCCCTTGCAGAACAATCACCTCCTTTCAACACATGAGAATATGCCTCGAGAGGTTGGGGTTCGTAAGGCCAAGCCCACGTTCCCTGCCCTCTGCTCTGCTGGGGACAGCAGCACCTCATCACACGGGGAAGGGAGGCCAGAGGTGGCGTGACCCACTCTTTTGGCCTTGGAGGGATTATGTGGTGGATGCTTTCTTTTTGATTTTCCTTTAAAACTCTCAGGTGGTCTCCTCTGCCCACCAGGGAAGGTGACAAACATGCTCCTTCTAACCCTCCCCTTCCCAGGGCGTGTGTGGGGCGCGCAGGGTCAGCTGATGCTCATCATGATCGGAAACCAGGATGAAGGAACCCGCCCGCTGCAGGTGGGGCTGACCCTGGGGAAGGACTTCCTCTCCAGCCCCGGGGACGTGCGACCTGTCGTTTTAATCAACGCACAACTGTCGGGCCTGCGGCCTGGTGTATTGCAATAGTCCTCACCTGGCCCGTCCCACTTAGGGGCAAGGGAATTTATAGAAACATACTCCCTCCAGCCTGTGGAAGTCTCCCTGGGACGCCTTTCTCAGAAATCGTTTCTCCCTCCAAATATTTTTGGTAGGATTTAGAGAGCAAGAAAAGAGTCATTTCGTATGTGTCCTGTGTGTTATGTGTGAATTGCTATCATCCCATACAGAGTGTGTGGGTTCAGAGCACAGGACCTGGAGCCAGAGGGCCTGATTCAAGCCACCGACTAACAACGTGCCTTTGGGCAAGTCTCCTAACCTCCCTGTGCTTCTGTTGTCTCGCTGCTTAAAGAGACCCCTGCTCAGGCTGTGCTGGGGAGTTGGAGGTGTGTGAAAGGACCTAAGTCCTAGTAAATGGCAGTTATAATTATATTATTTCAGCTCCACCACAATCGCAGACAGTGGTGGAGTCCATTTGACAAAAGGAACTGAGAGAGGTTAGGTCACTAGTTCAAGGTCACAGAGCTAGCAAATGGCAGTGCCAGGATTTGAACCCAGGACTGATTAATTCCCACTAAGGTCTCAGGGTTTCCTTCTGCAGCCACAGGACCCTGAAGTAAGAGGAAAATTGGACTCAGTCCACCCCCTCCAATGCCATGACCCAAGGGGTTCGCCTGCACACCCTCTTGCTTTCTCTTGCCTGCTGTTTCAGAGGGAAACTCACCCCTTCCAACTCCATCATTTATTTCAAAAAGACTCCACCCTCAACAGAACCCCAGGGTCTTCCCCCTCCCAAACCTGCTCACTTGACAGGACTACAGAACCCTGAATCTAGGCCTTGCTCTCCCCTGGTGCTGGTAGGAGGGGCTGGGGAGGGCTGGGGAAGTCAGGAAGCCCCTAGGATTTTCACTGTTGCCCGCAGGAGGGTCTGCAGCTCTAAGGCCTCCATGCCCACACCCCCTTCCCACTGCCTGCAGGACACAGCCTGACACTGAAGGTGGCACTCAAGGCCCTTTCTCCTCAGGGGCCTGTCTCCAGCCCCATCCCCGGTAGTCCCCTCGTCGTAGGCCCCTACTGGAGAGCCAGCCTATCACAGCTCCGACACACGCGCTCCTCCTGCCGCCAGCCGCTACACGCGTCACTCCATCTGCCTGAAATGCTCTTGTTCTTCTTCTCCACCGGCTGAACTATTACTCATCCTTAAGCAACTCATCCCCTCCATGACGAAGCCACCCCCAAGCCTCACCCCCACTCTCTCCCCCAGAGAGACTTCAACTCTCCCTCCTCTTTGCTCCTAGAACAATTTCACACATCTATTTCTGCATTTATCACAGTCTGACTTGTTTTCTATATTGAGTGTGTTGTGTGAGGGAGCGTGAAGTGTGAGGGTGCAGGGCGGCTCTGGCAGGGGCCACTTCCCAGGCAAGGGCCGGGGCAGAGAGGGGTAGAGCAGAAGCAGCGTGGGGCCTGGAGTTCGGGACCACCTACTCCAGGACCCGGTTACTGGCCAGAAGCCAAGGGGAGAGGCATTCTTGTCTTTCCAGAGACGGGACTACTGAGGACCATTGAAGGAATGACTCTCAGATCACAGACACTGACACAGAACTTGGCGCCCAACTCCTGATCCATGGGGCCCCTAATACCCCAGTTTCAGGTCGGCTGATGCACAGTCTGTCCCCCCGAGCCTCTGTCCCCCCCGCTGCCTTTATCAGCGAGCCATCACCCCCACCGTGCCACACTCCAGATCTCAGGGGCATTCCACACAAGCACGTTCTGCATGTGGGGAGAAGCTGACCGAGCTCGCTTCAGGCTGTGCATCAGCTTGGGTCTGCACCACCTCTCATGCAAGGGACACAGCTACCTTGGTCAGGTCCCTCCTCTTGGGGGAGTCCAAGAAGGCAAGCACAGCCACGTAAACGTGCCCTGAGCCTCTTCTCGAATTATATGTGCTACTATCTCATGAGCCAGACAAGTCAGCTGGCCAAGCCCAGCGTCAAGTGGCTTGGAAAAGGACTCAGTGCACTGTGGAGCCCAGCAAGGGTGTGAAGAATGAGAGCTCAGTTCAGCGCTCCGGGCCATGTTTATGCTCCACCTTCCCTCTTCCAGAGTCCACGCGACAGCTGCCTGCCCCCAAAGCCACCACGCAGATCCTTTCCTGCATCCCCTACCCAAAGATTCTTTAGCTGACTCTCTGCTGTCCCTACCAGAAACTTAATAGAATGCATGGGCTTAAGATAAATAATAATAAATAAATAAGAGTTAACAAGAGTTAAAGATAAATAATAAAGGGACACATCGCTTTCTTAACTCTGGAAGGGTGGAGAGTGGGGAGACTTACTTTTATCCCCACCTATCCATTGTCCTAAATCGAAGAGGTGAGCATTAGGGTTCCCCCAAAGCTTTGAGTCAAATGCTCCTAGGATTTCTGATCTGTATAACCTCAGAACCTTAGCATAGGGACGCTCTTTATTTTTGTCTCCCTGCATCTGTCCACCATTCTTTTGATAGCATTACTCCCCATTTCCAATGGAGAAACACCATGCGTCTCAGGCCATATGATTGGGTGGGGGTACACCTAGGGGGCCCAGCCCTAACCCAAGTAGAGAATCCCATCATTCCCTTGGATACAGTGATTGGTTTGGGGACAGGCTCATAGAAAATCCAGGCCCATAAGAATTCAGTCCGTGACTTTTTTGCCAAATTGCTGGACATGGTATGAGAAGTTAGAGGAATCCAGGAATCCAGGCAGTGACTCTATATTTCCTACAGGACTTGAACCTGCAACCATGGGCTTTGTGTTAGCAATGGCCATCATGCGACCACATTGATTCCAAAACCACGAAATGAAGCACAGAGAAATACTTGAACTCCTTGATCAAGCTATGCCTGAAGTCCTAGTCCTACTTTGGACTTTTCTGCTATGAGGCCAGGGTGGAATGGATTTTCTGTCACTTGCAATTGAAAGCATTCTGATTAACAAAACTGGAACTTTATAATTATAAAATTTTGAACACCTAGAATCAAGGATGCTTAGAATTAGAAATCTATTGAATTTCAGAGAGTTGAAGTTCTTCAAGACTAACCCTAATTTAGGGGAACATGGGGAGGGGCCCAGAACTATGGGCATAGAGAGGGTAGGCACTAGGTGCCTTTATACTCCCCCACTGTCATGGACACATTAGTCCTGGGCTAGGAGCTCCTGCAGCACCAGACTCTTAATTGTAGATTGGCCTGGATGAGTCAGGTCCAATGAAAGGCATGATCCCAGATTCCTGATCTTGGCAATGGCACCAACCTGTAGCCATCCATGGTTGTGTTTCTCCATGGTGCCCTCTCATCCTCTCATCCAAGGAGGAGCTGGGGTCTGAGCTGGCCCAGGGAAGTGCAGGCATGTTCCTAGGAGAAACCATCACATTAAAAGGGCCAGAAAGCATAAGATATGCTCAGAAGGAAGGGTGAATGGTGAGGATGCCCCTCAGAAGGGCTGAATTCGACCAGCAGAGAAGGCTGGCTCAAACTGGACTCCTTAAGCCAGGTACCTGACCCAGCATGCCAATGTCTGGCTTGGCATCAGCACCCTCTTGCTGGCTAACCTTTCTGAGCGGATATTTCAGGAAAAGCAAAGAAGACTCACACATTACTCTGGCTTCCCTACCTGCTGAGACCATCTCCAAAGGTGCCAACAGCTGGCCTGGCTCCTAGGCCACTTCCCTCTGCCAGGGCTGGGGCTGCCACTGGCTTTAGCCCTTTCCAACCCACAGGGCCTCCTGCCTGACAGCTCCTGGATCCAGATTTATGTCTGACCTGGACACTCTTAAGACCTCAGAAGGCAAAGGGCTCTTTGACCCTCAATAGAGTATCCCTGAATTCTAGTTCTAGACATGAGTTCTAGTTCCACTGCCTCCAACGACTTGCTACTTGCATATCTTGACCTCAGTTAATCCACCTGTAAACTGGAGGCTCCCCAGTAATGATCAACCTCACTGTATGTTTATGAACTAGGCCTTATGTCTACCATTCTACAGGCTTAGAAGCCAAAGCTCTGAGCAGTCCGGACCTCATTCCCTCAGCAGTATCCACGCAACATTACTGGATGAACACTATTTACTTGCCAGGCACTGTGCCAGGCTCCAAGAATATTAAGGTACCTAAAATAGGATCTCAACCCACAAAGTACACAGTGGGGAGGATAGCAGACTTGCTTAAGGTCATAGAGCAACTGTCAGTCCATTTGCACATAGTAGGTACTCAATCAATGCATGAATCAACTGATTGCACACAGTAGGCACTCAATGTATGAACTGACTGAAATAACTTGTGGGCAACTGACAAGGAGGAACCGTGGGTAAAAAGAGAGCAGGATGCAAAGATGCAACAGGAGAAAGGGAGATGTCAATTTCCAGCCTCGAGGCTGGGTTTGCAAACAAAAAATCTATCATATCTGATGCTGTTTGCTAAAGACCAAAATGGGGATGAAGGAAATGAGCAGTGGCGGATGGTGTGCTTGGCTCCTGCTCACGATGCAGCTTGGGGCCTTCAGGGGCTGTGCCTGGGCAATGAGCTCTGTAGTGGTCCCTCGGTGCCCCCAGGCAGGGCTGCAGAGAGGGCAGGAATGGTGCAGTCGGGAGGGCATGCTGGGAACAGCGGTAACAAGGAGAGAGGGATGGCTAATATGAGAATGAACCCTCAACTGCCTGCTTCAAATGTCCTGAAATGTACCCAGCCTCAGAGATGACAACAGCAGGTTGCTCCTCAATTTATGGTCCGTGGACCAGCAGCTGAGTCCACACCTTGGCATTTGTTAAAAATGCAGCTCCACAGTTCCATCCTGAACCTATAGAATGTGAATCTGCATTTCAACAAGATCTCCCACTGTTTCTCAAGGCTCCTCACAGATTAGAACCACCAGGGAGGTTTGGAAAACACCAGGCCTCTATCAGTCCAGGGGTTCTAATTTTATTGGGTGGGCCTGTGACCTGGGCGGTGGGCCTCCCCCTCCCCAACCCGAGATCACTGACATACAACGTTAAAGGTGTACGTTGTGTTGATGTATTCAGGAAATACAAATCTCAGAATCCGAAACTTTGAGGTTGGGGCCCAGAATCTGTTTTAATAGACTTCTCCAGGTGATTCTGATGCAGGCTCAAGTTGGGGAGTCACTGTTTTAATAGGAAGAGTCCTGGACTGGAAGAGCAGATCATGGCTCTCTCTCTCTCTCTGCTTGAATGTCCTCGAGGGAGTAACTCTTTGGGCTTCAGTTTCCAGTTGTATAAAATGAGAGAAGTGGACCAGACCTGGGCTACCACTCTCCCTCAGTGACCCTGCCAGACATTACTAATCCGTCACAGCACTGCTTCCTTGTCACACGATGGACCTCAGCGCTTTCCTCAGCACACCTCCCCTGGAGCCCAGTCAGGTCAAGAATGACAGTGAAATGAACCACTCTGCTGGTCCAGATGCTGTGTGATCTCTGAGAGCCCTTCCAGCCACAACCTGCTTCCACCACCTCCGAGAAGTCCCCCAATGCTCCCAGGTGGGGACAACTGAGCTTCCTAGGAAATGGATGGATGCACCCCCTGTCTGCATTCTGCATCTCTTTTATGATCTACCTCCCCCTTTGGACTTAGACTCCTCCTGGAGATCAAGGACCTTTAGGACCCCTGCCGCAAACCCTCAGCTTGCAGGATAAACGCTCAAGACAAATGTGACTGGATGAAGTGTCCAGATTCCCAGTGTCGGGGTAAGGTGTCCTCATGGGCCCTTGGTCATGACGCCTTCTGTGCCTCATTCCAATGGCATATTGGCTGACATTCTAATAGCATATTGGCTGACTTCCCACTTGCCAATCCTCCATTACTTGGAGTCCAAGCTGCCTTGGCATGGTGCTGAGAGGTGCCCTGCATAGCCCGTCTGGCCTGGCTGCTTCCCAGGAAATGGGGAGGGAGGGAGAGAGGGGTGCAGCCAGGTGGCAGTGGCAGACCTGTGGTCTCCTCCAGCAAGGAGCTAAGGGCCATGGGAGTGAGGCAGTAACTGCATCAGATGCCTGCCCCCCGAATGTGGGGGGAGTAGGCACCAGGACCATAATGGCGCTCACACATCAGTCAAGTTCCAAGGACACAGAAAGGCTGCCCTCTCAGCTGCCTGCACGCCTCACAAATGCTGGACTCGGCCCAGCCAGGAGGGAGGAGGAGCCGGGTCCATTCAGTTCACATCTACTGAGCACCTACTGTGTGTTCAGTCATGGGGCAACGAGGAGAAGACACAGTCCCTGCTCTCAGAGAAGGAAGAGAAGGGGAAGTTCATGGGCATCTATAGACCACAGCTGTCTGCCACGTCGTATATAAAGGTAAGGTGCACTGAGCACCTACTATGCATAGGTCCTGCTATGTGCCAGGCCCTGTGAGAGGGGGATGTGCACACCCCCAAGACCTGAGCCTGAGAGAACAAGGTCTGTGCACCTGTTAGGTTTAGGGCCTGCAAGAATGGAATGTGGATCCCATTCCACTGAGCCCCGGGCCCTGGGTCCTGCAGAGGGGACTGTGGACTGAGACAGGCAGGCACGAAGCCCTGTGTGAAAACCCCACACGTTTAAACCTTACAACAGGCCTTCAGACAGCTTCAGGACAGTGGCTCTCACCCTGCATCCCTGCCCTTCCAGAACGAGTTCCCCATCTCCCCAGGCCCAGTCCATGAGCCACCTCCTGTGGGAAGGCCTCTCCCAGGGAAGCCTCTCCTGCCCTGTCAGGCAGAACGCCTGGCTCTTTTCCCTGCATCCCCTCTGCAGCGACCCTGGTCTCCTCTGCCTGGGATGACTGACAGCCAGGCTGCCTGCATGGAGCCTTCCCATGGCCAGAGCAGTGTGAGCGCTGCTGTGAGTGCCCGTCACCCAGTGTCACCCAGGTGACAACTGAACAAACTAGGTTCTGAGAGGGTCAGGGTCCTGCCTGAAGCCACACAGCGAGTGATCGATCCAGAGCTTGACCCTAAACTTGACTGTTTCCAGGGCTCTTGGGTGAATGAGCCCAAGCCTATTCCTGGGGCCCTGGGCGTGGCTGTGCCCGGAGGAGCCCACCGGCCTCTTCACCAGCAGTAAACTGAAGCTTTGGTCCTAACTTGGCTGCCCCTGACCCCGCCCCCTGGCACCCCCTACCTTGGCAGGCAGAGGCCTCTGGTGGGGGAGGGAGCTCCCCAAGACTCCGGAAGTTATAGTCCCTGGCTGGACCACGTGATAACATTTATGGAGAGAAAGGACCAATCTGGAGAAGGGGCGCTGTCACCGGCCCCTGGGAATTTGTACACCGCAGTTTCCCAGGATGCTCTCCCTCCCGCTTCACAAAGTAATAGCTGAACAGATTGTCTCGGAAGGAGAATCCCTGGATTCTGGAGTCGTGGTTCTAAATGGCTGTTTCTCTGGGTTTTGCTTCATTTCTTTAGAAAAATGGTTGAAATTTAAGTAACCGAGTTCAATGCAGAGGAAATACAGGCTGCAGCCGTCACCCCGGGGAAAATGGGACTGAGCCGCAGGGGAAGCCTCTGGCGGGGAGGCCTCCGTGGCTTTCTGGACCTGCTCGCTCCTGTCTGCCTCGGCTTCTCACTGGCTCCCGGGGAGGATCGGCCACGTGAGGAGGAGCCACACTAGGGCTGAAATCCCGTCCGTCTGACTCCAGAGTCAAGATGTCCTTCCCGAGGTGAGTGGGAGGCTTTCCCATTGTCTGTGGCTGAACCTCACAGAAGCCTGCTTGGGGGTGACGGAGGTCAGGCCCAGCAGGTTAGGGCCCACACCCAAGGGTGCCCCGCTGTGGGCAGGGTCCATCAGGATTGTGCGGAGAGCAGGGGAATCGAGTCCTCACCTGGGCCCCCAGGGAGACCTCCTTGGCTCTGGGACACATCTCAGGCCTGGTCCCTGCAGCACCCATGCTCTGGGCCTCTCCTTGAACCCTGACGTGGGTGCTCCCAGGCATCAAGAACTCTCTCTGCTGCGCAGCTGCGTGGCGCTTTCGGGCAGGGCCAGGGGCCTCCTTCAGGCACCGGATTCGACTCCATCTCTGCAGTGTCTCAATCACGAGGCCTTGGACCAGCTGCCTGAACTCAGTTTGCTCGTCTGTAAAATGCAGGTTACATTACCTACGTTGTAGGGTTATTGTGGGGATTCGATGAATTAGTACAAGTAAAGGGCTTCAAGCAGGACCTAGTGACCCTGAGCGGACAGTATCCTTCATCTGATAATTCACTCCCCGATGCCTGCGTGCTGGGGAGACAGAGGTGACACGGCTACCTGGACCCTATGGATGTTGAGGTCCAGACATCCCTGAAGGCCCCCAGGAGAGGTGAAGGCGACGCTGAGCCTTGGAGGGTGAGGCATCATGCACCCAGAGTCCACCTTGATGGGCCACCTGGCACCCTGGCGGAAGGCAGGGCATATGCAGAGGCCCAGAGAAAGGACATGTGGCATCTCTAGGGAACTGCAGCCTGGGATGGCCAGACGCCTGGAGTGTGGGTGGCAGTGAGGCGAGAAGAGCAAGAGGCAGAGGCCAGGGCTGTTGTGGACACAGTCGTGCCCCTGACAGATCTGTTGCAGGCCTCACGTCTAGTGCCTTAGAACCTGACTTTATTTAGCAAATCTGTCCCCCCACACCTGCCTCCCCCCGCCACCACCACTATTTCAGTTTCAGTCACCTATGGTCAACTGCAGCTCACAAACATTACGTACAATGAGGTGTTAGGGGGGGAGAGCAGTAAAATGGGGGTTATATTACCTACGTGGTAGGGTTATTGTGGGGATCCGATGAATTAGTACAAGTAAAAGGGCTTTAATGACAGTGTGTTGGC